TGTGTATAAGAGACAGATTATGTGTTTTCGATTACGGTAACTTAAGAGGATAAACATAAAAAAAAGCCCTAAAAATGCCTTATTTTTGTGTTTTTATTTCTAATTTCGTTGGAATTGATGAAAACTCCCTAAAATGTGCAATTTTTAGAGGAAATTGGCCTACCTCAACAAAATATGCGATTTAAAATTTGAGGTTTTCAGGCACTTTCCCGGGTGAAAAAGGCATTCAATGGGGAAAGATTTTCCACAGATGGATATTTTCCCCTTGTCCCCCGGTGGTTACGCCACTGTGGAGAATATCTGGTGGCTTAGATCAAATGCGCTATGGACACTTTTTGAAGTGGAGAAGGGGTTGCAGGCCGGGGTATTGTGATATCTGTTCATTATATCTTCCTTTTTATTCTTGTCTTTATTTTTCTATTCTCTTTTTCTTTTCCTTTTTCCTTTTCTTTTCTTTCCCCTTCTTTCTCTTTCCCTCCCTCTCCCCACTTTCTTTTTTCTTCTTACATCCCGGTACGACGGCTTGGTCAGCCCGGTAAAAACCGTCGGGGGGGGGGACAGTCTGCCCACCTGCCCCCGCCTGTTACGCCACTGCTTATAAGATGAATGTGAATATGAATCATGCAGATCTGGAATCAAATCTAGGTGGTGGGGTCAACATTCCTTTCCCGGGAAAATGAGCTTTCCCGACTTCTGACGTGTCTTTAATTACTTTTAAGTTCTTCAAAATTCAAGGTCTTCCCATCTTGAAAACGGTCAGGTAATTTTTTCCCATTGTTATTACAGTAAATAGGGCTTATGTGTGTATACATACATAACAATTTAAAAAAAATGAGTAGTTGCATACGAATTTTCTATGAATCGATGAATCCCAAAAAGGAAGGGGGTCCGGGGGTTCTTCCACAGGAAAATTTTGATTCCTAGAAGGCGGGAAATGAGCTTTCCCGACTTCTGAGGTGTCTTTTAAATTAAAGTCATTAAAAAATACTTCAGAAGTCGGGAAATCTCATTGTCCACCATTTAAGAAATCAACATTTTCACGGGAAGAACTCGAACCTCCCTTTCTCTGGGTTCATTTATTCATTATAATAATTTTCAAGAGGGGAACACCTTGAGTTTTGAAGAACTTAAAAGTAATTAAGTTCTTCAAAATTCAAGGTTTTCCACTCTTGAAAACTTTCAGATAATTTTTGCCCATTGTTAATACAGTAAATACGCCTTATGTGTGTATACATACATAAAAGATTGAGTAAGTTGCATACGTAGTTTTTCCATGAATCGATAAATTCCAAAAAGAAAGGGTGGGGTGGGGGGAGGTCCGTGGTTCTTTCCCGGGCAAATTTTAATTTCTAGGTGGCGGGAAACGAGCCGACTTCCCGACTTCTGTGGTGTCTTTTAATGACTTTTAAATTCTTCAAAATTCAAGGTCCCCACCCCCAACCTGTCTTTGGAAATGATTCAATTAATCAATGAACTCCAAAGATAAAGGGGTCCGGGTTCCCCCGGAAAAATTTTGATTTCTAGATGGCGGGAGATGATCTTTCCTGACTTCTGAAATGTCTTTTAATGACTTTTAAAGTTCTTCAAAATTCAAGGTTTTCCCCTTTTGAAAAAGGTCAGGTAAATTTTTCTCATTTTTTATTTTATGTGTGTATACATACATAAACAAATGAGTAGTTGCATGCGTATTC